TTTTTTTTTAAGGGGGGAAAATCATCGAATGACTGCTCCCGCCTGGGTGAGGCGGGAGGGAGTGTCAGACTCTTACTGACTAAAAACCACCCCGTTCCTTCTCCTGCACGTCGAGCCAGAGCCCCGGTTACCCGTTAGGTTCTCCGCGACTCAAGAATATGGATATAAGATCTGTATGTGATGTAGAATTGTGTGTCTAGATGCTTATGTGACAATTGTTAGAGATTTTACTTCAGGTTTAGAGACCACTTGCGCACTAGGGCCAATCAATAGACGCCAAGTAGCTATTGGAGAAACAAAAATATACTACTCTATTATTTAACTACCATTTTTTTACATAGACTTATTTGTGAAGTTAAATAATTGACAGAACCTAAGGTACATAACTGCTTATGTTTTATATTACATATAACCTTTTTTCAGCTATATTTGACACCCCCCAGTAACGTTAATTCTGTAAACATTATAGTGTACTCTGTTCTGTAAACATTATAGTCTCAACTCACCCTCAAAGCATCCAATGTAACTCCAGAATCATCAGGAGCGATCTGTTTGAGCAGATGCGAGTAGATTTCAGAGTCAGCCACGTCCTGCTGGAAGTTGGTGCAGCGGCGGGTGACGCCGGCGCTCTGTAGCTGGTGGTTCACCCATCGGAGGAGGATCGCTTCTGGTGATAACGCCAACAGGTCTTCGATGCGTTCCTAGAAATAAGAAGGTAAATAGTATAGCAGAAAGTTTAATAAAGTTATCAAAATTTATCAAAGACTTTTACTTTTATTTTATGAACAAGGGAAGAAATTCTTTTGTATCTAAGTCAAATATTAGGCAATTTTTTGGCTCACTGCTATTCATGGACGTTTTTAACACTGAAAGACCTCAAAGTAGTTATACTGAACTCGAAGATTAAACTGGAGTTTTCGTATTCATACTTGCAATCACTCTACAATTTATAAACCACATGATCTAGGAAGATTCAGTTTTATATGAGGTGACTATTGGTCTTTTCCCCTCGAGTGAATAGAGAGCACTTTTCCATAGACTGCATTTACCATACCTGGTCATTGAGCAGCTCGGTGAGACCGGGGCAGTGTTCCAATGTGATCTGGTTGAACAGACCGATACGGATGATCTGCCACAGCAGACCCAACACCAAGTGAGGCTTGCCTGCAAATTGTAATACATTTGTTTGAGAAACATTCTATTGAGAGAAAACATATTAATAGTGTCAGTGAAGGCTTGTTTGCAATGTAATAGAGTGAAAAATGAAAGCATGAATTTCAGAACAATATTTATAAGTTAACGCAAAGTTGGACAAATATTGGAATCACTAATAGACAGTTGATTCTAAGTCGCTTCTATCCAACCAGCTGATCTAGAAGTAACTGAGAGAAGCCTATGTTATTGACAATGAAAGTGAGTGTAGGTAAATAAATCAAGTATTTTCTTAATTACCTTTAGCCAAATCATGGGCATCGATATTGACGATATTGCACCCAATGGCCTGTGAGGAGACGAGGGCCAGCGTGAGGTTCTCGTGCTTTGTGTACAGAGTCAGATTCTTCTTGTTGATGGCACGCTCGTCTATCGTGTCGGGGCATGAGTGGTTTATCACTTTACTGGAATTCAAACAGGTAAGGTTAGTGGGTAAATTTTAATAAAATAATATGGTCCCTTATTGGTGCTGATGGTGGCCATGGCATGGCTATGTATAAGTAAGGTAAGGATCCCACAATCCCTCACCAAAATGCAAGGTGCCTTTTAAGATAACATTTCCCTGTCATCAAAAAGGTCTTTTAAATTAAAACCATTGCAAAAGACCATACAGGTTTACTCACCATAAAATAAGACCGTCTTTGAGCTTCTCATACAACTGTTTCCCCTCATGGTCTATCGGCAGCAGGTGCTTCAGGTCTGGGTCATGTTCCAGGTTGCTGTTTATCCAACCAGAGAAAGCCATCTGCTCCTCCAGTCGAACCGAGTGAGTTGTGCCTGAAAGTGGAAAGGGTTTTAAATCAGTTGCAATAAGGTTCAAATTTTGAAACTGACAGAGACCCAAATGTTTGATTTTTCTTTTTTGATTTAATTATTTTAATGAAACTTGGTATTTTTACTCGACTGTTTTTTAGTAATGAAGTTGCAGTAGTAATAATGTCTAAGTCTAACATTCTAGAATGTAAGTAAAAGTGTACTGACCATCGCTGGAGGCTTCGCTCATGCCGCCCAAGTGTTCCAGGTTCTCTTTTTTACTGACAGCCTGTTTGAACGTGCTGGATACCTGGGAATATAATACATATTCGTTATATACTTGATAATTGATACATAAGGGAGTAGAATGTAGTTGTTTTTCAACATATTTATTATCTAAAGGGTTTGGTTGTAACCTGTATTTAAATATGAATTTAATAAGATACAATTACTCAAATGGATCATCCTTTAAGACCAAAAACGATATAACAAACTCCTTCTCTGCCAGACCTACTTTCAACCAAATCGACGAGAAAGATCAAGTAAGTCCATGTTAAAAACAGAACAAAATTAGTCTATCTTGATTCTAATGTCTAGACTCAGACAGTTGACACAGCCCACCTTCCCACCTCAACATAACTGTTCCATCATAACACATTCATACATTAAACTACAATACTCAGTCATTACAATTGTATGTAGTAAAAAAATATAAAAAACAGCGCTACAGACCAATGACCTGGCCTTAAACAACTGCGTTTGCGTCTCTGATTATTATAGGCAGATAGTAAGTACCTACATACACAAACACATCGACCTATACAAACTAGTTATCTTGGTCTCGTTTTGTATTATCTTTCTGTATATTCTACGATCAGTTTAAACTGGTTTGCATAGCTTGATTTGACACTATGCAATTATAAGTAAGGTTATGAATCGATTAAAAAACTAATATTCAAATTAGGTATGGAACTAGAGAGTGGGTTTTTACATGTTAACTTATGTATTGTATGATTGGGGGATGGGTGTATGGTTAAAGTTCAAATTGTAACGTGTTATTAATGATCAAAATTAAAAGTTCCATGTATTTGTTTGCTAACAAAAAAGTATATGGCCAAACATTAAAAATTCTACATGTTCTTGGGTAAGGAAGAGCAATAACAGTTTGACATAGTTAAACTGTTTTTAATGTTTTATTTTTCAATCTAAATAATAAATAACTAGGACTAATATAGGCCTAAATAAAAATTAAATTAATTACAAATAAAATGAATATAAGAAAATATAGGAAAATAGGATATGGGAAAAAAATTCAATTGTGTAGGTATGTGGCATTGTAGAATGCACATGCGCATGTCTTTGACGATTGAAAGAAGTGATATTCTGTGACTTTTTCTGCTGTTTATGATTTTCCATACCTATCATATTTTGCCCTATTTCCCTGGCCTAATTTCTATATACAACAAAAACTCAATACCGTAACAATTTCAATACTTCTACAATCAAACTACGTCCCTATGAACTGGTAAACCTACACTGGGCGTCATCTATTTGACCCTGTGACCGCAATGATTAGCGTTTATCATTTTATTGACATCTCGGAGTTAATCTGTTCACATAAACAACGGACGGCCCGACAAATGGGTACTTTATGAGGCTAATAAGAATAACATTGATTTGTTTAATCGGCTGTCTCGGGTTAAATTGTGTTTGTTATCGGTTTAGTGACTTGACAGTGACGAGTTTAGGGTTTCAGATACTTTTCTCCGCGTTTGAAATAGGTTTATTGGGATTCTGTATAATAACTATAGCAAATTAGCAAGAGTCATAATTATAAGCCCTGATACAGCTGGAAGCTTGTTGATCATCCTCAAAATTTAAAATAAAATCGGTCGGTGCGGTTGCTGGGCAACCGACTACCGGGCAATGAATAGCGGGTTAGATAATCGCACGGAACAATACTTTGAGTGATCCACAAATTGTTGTTTCGGGTCTGGGTGTCATGCGTATGCCACCAGCCACGATACAGGAGAAATATTTAAAATATAAGAATATTATATAAATCGGGTGACGAATTTCTGACTGGTCAATCACAGCAATCCAAGTTTAATTTATGACTCAAATTAGTGACGAAATGTCAATGTTACGCCTATGCCTATACCCTAGACTTTTTTTTTAAAAGGGAGAAAATCTTCGAATTACTGCTCCCGCCTGGGTGTGTCGGGAGGGAGTGTCAGACTCTTACTGACTAAAAACCACCCCGTTCCTTCTCCTGCACGTCGAGCCGGAGCCCCGGTAACCCGTTAGGTTCTCCGCGACACCTATACCTAGTCTAGGCAGTGTTGAATTGTCAACAATGAATTCGGTTAGGTATGGAACTCGTAAGAGAACATTTCACATAAACATTTATTTTCCTGAAAATATTTTTTTGCTTTGGTCCTGTTACAGTAGCTATAGGTTCCTATTTAATAAGCTATTATGTCATTCTACGAAAGAATTAACAAAATAAATTAAATAAAAAAACCGTTGCCCCACACTATTTTCTCCTGTATCGTAGGTGCGTTTACAAACATACAAGTTCACATACACATGACACCCAGACCCGGAAAAACAGTCTGTGGATCACACAAAGAGTTGCTCCGTGCGGGAATCGAACTTGCGACACGATACCAACCGTGCAGTCTTAAATTCACTGTGTTGCCATAAATATACTGAGATTACTCCTAAAAACGTACATAGTTATGTAAGTTTATACCTCTATATACAGTTTCATTATCAAAGAACTTTACCGATCAAGGTTTCGAACTCAGATCTTGTTGACATTTTTCAAAATTCAATAATTCAGATAATCTGTTTAGTGTGATGTCCTGCCGAAACAAATATTGGATTTGTTTGTTCCCTTTACGCGATACGACCCTCAATGTAACCAAAATACAATTTGGAAACCTTACAAATGTCTTAAAAGTTTAAACAGGTCTCGAAAGGACATTTAATTTTCGACAATTTTTATTCTTTTGACAAGAGAAGCTACAAATTTTATTGCAACTGCAAAAAAAGCGTCATATTGCTTTATTTGTGGATCAAAAAACTGGGAATTTAAGGCGTTGCTTATTAGACAGTTGTCATTTATAAGCCGCCAAATGACACAACTTGGACTGTTGGACAGTACGCTTTAACTGATTAGTGAAGCTCCTACAGATGTAGACAAACAGTACTGACCTGTTGTGCTTTAAGGTTAGCGCAGAGCTCCTCGAACTCGGTGAGGCTGATGGCGTTCTTCTTGGCGTCTCCATTCATGCTGCCGTTGACTCCACGCTTGTTGCCATTGTCGTAGTACTCCTCGATCATGCACCGGACCTGGAGACGAGATTTGAGGAATCAATTAGAGATTTACACGGTATTATGGGATGGGGAACAAAAGAGTAGACGGATCACCTGATGGTAAGTGATCAGCGCCGCCCATCACAACACCAGAAGAGTAACTAGTGCGTTACTTCAAAAAGAACAGTCTTTCAAAAATGATTACGGTCTTTTCTTGAAGATTAGAAGGTAACGAAAGAAGTATACAGAGCAGATATGATTGGGGCCGTCGGTAGAGGGCGCTCTAGACGGACACATATTGACCATATTGGCGATATATTAAAGAAGAACCAAATTAAAAGTTCCCTTAACCGACGAGCATTCATGAAAAGATTGATGACTGTTGATGAACTGAAAGAGGTATGTAGGAATTGTAGTAATTGGCGTTTCATAGTCTTGGCTTATCCACTTGGGAGACAGGCGTGAAATTATGTATGTATGTATTTGAAGGTGTGTAATGGACACCTGGAGCACGTAACTAACTCAAAAGACAAGCCTGGTTTAGGTGAAAAGCATAACCATACTTAACATGGGTTATTGGCTATTGTCAAATACTTCGGCTACTTATACTTAGGTGCTTTAATCTAATTTTCTCTCAGCCAATTAAGACGAAAACATATTGACTAAGTTTATAAACAAAGCCACAAAACTTCATTTTTATTGAATGTCACCTCTAATTATCGTTTGAATTATCGTCATGTATATGTTTATGACTACATAGACAACTAGACTAGAAAGAAACAATGTGATATAGTTGTATACAGCATAACAGCTACGTGGGAGCACCATTAATCTTTGACATATAAATCTGTTGTTTTTACTCCCCTATCTCTCCGTTATATAGAAGTAAAAATTAATGCATAGGAACCGACTTAATTAGCCATTCTATTGACAGTCTAGTAGTTTTATTAAAATAAGACATCAATCTTCTGCCTGCCTTTATTTAAGACAAGTTGCTTGGTGTTGGCAATAAGGTTTCTTTTTCCGTGTTCCAGGAGATGAATATATACTTTTTAAGATTTGTCCGTAATCGCATATTTGTTCTCCTTATTAATAGTTGTATGGAGCGATGAGCAATGCACATGTCAGGTGATCGAACTCTTGAAAGTTTATTCCTTTGAAGTTTCTGAGTAGCTATTCATTTGAAACTACTATATTTATGGGAATAGAAATTTATTTACCTTCCATTGTGGAATTTTGTATCCGACGCTGTCGAGTGCTTCTTTCAATTCTTTCAGATCAATGTAACCACTGCTGTTTGTGTCCAGCTGAAACAAGAATACAATACAATAAATTATTTTGATACATAAAAAAAAAAAACAATTATAAAATAACTCGGAAACCATGTACAATATTCAATAAAGAACGTTATACACATTATGTATCCTAAAAATGTGTTAGGTACATGTGGTTATTCTAATCTTAACTTTACTTTCGTTTTCAAGTTTACCTTACTATAATTACACTACACTTAAAATATAATTTTAACTTAACGAAGTGTAAAACTTATTACAACTTTACACTGCCGGCCAAAAAAATGTGAACATCTTTACGAATCTGTGAGTACATGGGAAGAAACGTTTTAGGGTTGTCTCACGTACCTAGATAAAAGGTATGGTTTTCTAGTTACGTCTGATTAAAAAATAAGGTAGCAGAATGCTAGCGAATTAGAACGTTGAATTTGTGACGAATTTAGTTAGTAAAGTATATTTCGTGTGAAATGTAATTTTGCTTGTTTTACTCAGTATTTTAGACGATAAAGGTGATCTCATATCTAGTATTGATTTTATTAATTAATAAAAACACCTGATTCACCGATTCTATGTTATGACCAAAAAACATATTGATGAATGTGATAAACATGTAGGTAAAACCAAAAATCCATAATAGTTAATCATAGTTAGTATTTCCTTGGGCAACTATCATTGCCCTTTATCAAACACTTTAATATGAAATAACAATTTTATAAAAAATGGACCATATGGCAACAAACTTTACAAAACCAACCTTCGTTTCCGAAGCATTAAAGCAAGGATTAACCTCGTCAAACCTTTTTGCGTTTATTCAAGTACATAGTTAAAGTATTTATGGTAATGGAGACTCATTGCATACATTTACTATTACAGAACTGGAATAAGCAACATTAATGATGTTTGTTTATACTTAGAATTCCGTCAAACGTATGATTGGATTACGATTTAGTGACGTAACCACCAACTCTGATAAAGATCTCATATCATAGATTGAGTGATAAGAAATCAGCAATGACTAATCTTTGGATATACGTCGTATAGACAGAAGAATTCATGATGAACTTTGTTTTGTTGTAATTGAAATGCAACGAACTTTTTAGAAGTATTTCTAACTCGACATAGAACCAAGACACTAAAAATGTTATACCCATCGCAAACTTTACATTTATACTTATATTTTGCCCAACTAGAGCAGCTCGAAAGTATCATTTGCGATTTAGAACAATTCGCGTACATATAACGTAATTTCCTATAGTATACTCCATTACTCGTAGACTAACTAAAGGAATAGACGAACAAACAATTGAATGTTTATTTAACAGTATTGTAGTACATTACTGATTGCTCACCAGTGATATAACTGTCGTGATGTAAAGATTATAAGATGTGGTCATAGTTTCGTAAAACGATAGCTTGATAAGAGGATTAGACAGAGATAAAAATGCGTCTGAGGATTATAAGTGAGCCCATGTTGCACGATTTTTGGATAAGAGTCAAAATTTATAATATTGGAATACCAGTCCACCATTTTTTTAAATGTAAAAGGACGTTGTGGACGTCTTTTTATTGTACTGATATTTATTCAGCGATATTTTTAGGCACCAGTGTATACCCTGAGAATCCCTAACATACAATATGTCTAACTACTTCTTGGTTTTCCTAGGTTCCTTCCGCTTTTCAGAACACGAAATAATTTTCCTATGAAAGTCACATTACTATATGTACTTAAATAATTTTAATGATTATCTTACAAGTAGTTGTTGATGACACAACATCAAATGCGTGAGTAACGTCCGTCGTCCATTGTACTAATTTCGTCTGAATGTTTGTTATTTCTTATTCCGTAAACATCTCCCTTTCGAATACATGTAAAAATGTTTACAATAGAACATTCTAGTGAATGTATTGTTATGGATTTACTTCCTACAATTATATCGCTGGTGGTTGTAATCAATACGCTTTATTGCAACGCCGGAGCCATTTGTAAGACCTAACGTGGGTAACATAATTACTTTCAGACGATGTAGACATAATGCGCTCTTGCAATCGACATGTAACCGTCAAAATATTAAAAGAAAAGCCCTTACAATTCAGTAGTGCATAGATCATAGATCGCAGAACGAAGATCTCAAATTCAACAATGGCTTTTATTGACAGACTACTAAGTTATCATTGAAATATTTCACAAAATACTTACAATACACAGTAATGCAAGAACAAATGCAATATTTACCTGTTTCCGTGTTACATCATAGTTTTTGTATAGCATAATTAGTAACGGTAAGTTTTAATAGCGTGCTTCAAATAAATAATGTTAATGTGCACGCTCTGTTTCCGACCAAATGTGAGGCAAGGTCAGAGCCACTGTTGAAGACAGCTCGTATGGCCGTTGGAGTACTAGACATGTTTATTACTGTAGGAGATGCTTTTATTTATTATTTATATGGGATTTGGAAGATAGATAATTGTACTCAAATACATGACGGCGCCGTCGTCATTATTTTGTAAACTGCAAATGTAATGGGCAAGCAGTGAACAAACAACTGACCGACGTCACTTCAACCCCACCACCGAGTGCTATATAAAGCAGCGCAAGCGCAAGCTCGAGTCAGTCGTTCGTCGATCGTTGCCCAGTTCACACGTTACGCAATCGCTGAGTAATTTTATTATTGGTTTTATTTGAGTGTTTCCTTTATATAATCAGTGCTAAATTATTCAATTATTATAATTAAAAATTAATGTGAAAGTAAGTTCATTTAAACTGTCAAACACCAAGCGGTCACCGGTGACCGCAACCTATTGTTCTATAATTGTGTCTACAAAACCGGTACTCGACGAGTTAATCGAAATAAACTAAGTGATTGTGTGAAGCCCCTTTGTTTTATTTTCAAATAATGTCGGACCCTGAGCCTACATCAGAAGTGGGATGGACCGGGATTATTGAAAATGTTAAAATTATCGGAGCCGGTTCGTGAAGAACTACCTACATGCAAATGCGACGAAGAAGATAGTGCTGCAAGATTAGAAGTGCTTAGCTATACATAGCTAGCTATTCGGTAGTGAAGATTCAACGTGGCTAATGTTGAGGCAGCTACTTCGAACTGAATCGCTATCTGAAGCAGCAAATGAAGACATGACGTGGTCCTAATTGAAGTCGGAGTACATTGGCGTCCGGTGACAGCGTAAGTTGCGCGACGTTAACGCAGCGTTTGGTGAGCGGCGTGTTGATGTCTGCAATTGGACACTGCTCCCATCGGGATTATACCAGGTGACTTTGTTCCATTTATTATGATTCCGATACCATATGGGTCAAAAACGAGTCAAAGACTTGAGTTTACAATTGTTAGTTTTCCAATTTGAAATTTTATTTTATTTTTGTCGGGTAGTTATTTAAAGAAAATAGCCGTGATGTTTTAGATCCGAGATTATACATGGTCATTAGAATTACGTCTGATAGTGTTACTTTGTGTTGTGTATTGTTAGGTAATATCTCAAGTAGTAGGCTTTCATTTGGTTGGAACTTGGAGGTATGGTTTCCGCGAGGTAGATGCAGAATTAAGTGGTGCTTGCTGTCTAACGCGGTACAGAGTATTGAGAAAAATAGTTTATAACAAATAAAGGTCAAAAGCTGCTAATAATAATTGGTAGTTAAAGTCAGAATTGAAGAGACCTCTAAAGTCCTACATTCATTTAGGATTATTGTTGGGTTGGAAAATAGTTAAAGCGCTAAGAATACTCTGATGAGAAACATGCTTCCCTTGATCTTGCCATTAGGATTTGTTATAATTAGGGCCTTTCAGTACCTAGTGAGTTAGTAATTGTAAGGGTAAAACTTTTCATTTATTCTACTATATCGTGTGTGCTAGTCATAGTCGTTACTGGGGCAGGGACTCGAGTCCATATAATGAAACTACAGTCGTGGCTGACTTGTGACTCTGAAACACTGGAGTAACTATCCACACTTG